CCCTCATGAACTGAGAAAAAACATAAAGGTTGCTGATAATATTTACAGTAAGAAAAGAAGCTTTAAAGCTAGCTGACAGTTCTTGCAGTAACTTAAGACAGAATTGGCACTGGGTAAGGAACATCACAGTAACTAAGACAAGCATGATACCCAACAGGCATTCTATAAGTATGTGACTCAGATTTGACTTTGAACTAGAAATCCTAACAATAACTGAGGCAGATTTGACTCACAATAACAAATTCAAACTCAGTATTGGGAAAAATCCTCAATATGATTGGGGTAGGCTTAAAATTGACTAGGAGTTCATTAAGGAATGAAGACAGGCTTCATAGTGCATGAAACCCTTGTAATAGATGAAGTAGGCTTGCAGTTGACTAGGAACTTGCACAGTAATGAATACAGACTTGATGCTGCATGAAACCTTTGTAATAACTGAAGTAGACCTGAAGTTGATTTGGTTTGAATTTCAGGCAAAGCTATACGAGGGCTATCTGCACTAGCCATCCCTAACTTAGCAGTAAAAGACTAGAGGGAAGGCAGCTAGTCATCTCCACTGCCAACTCTTGGGCTACTCTTTTACCAACAAATAGTGGAATTGACCATCATATTATAAAGCCCCCACAGTTGGAAAGATGAGCATATTTGGTGGGACAGGGATTCAAACTCGTGACTCTCAAATTGTGAGTCAAACACCCTAACCATCTGGCCATGCCAGGCTGCTTGAAATTGACTTGATACTGCATGAAACCCTTGTAATAACTGAAGTAGGCTTGAAGTTGACTAGGAACTCATTAAGTAATGAAGACAGACTTGATACTGCATGAAACCCTTATAATAAGTGAAGTTGACCAGGAACTTGCACAGTAATGAAGACAAACTTGATACTGTATGACACCCTTGTAATAACTGAAGTGGGCGTGAAGTTGACTAGGAACTCGTTGAGTAATGAAGACAAACTTGATACTGCACAAAACCCTTGTAATAACTGAAGTAGGCTTGAAGTTGACGAGAAGCTTGCACAGTAATGAAGAAAGACTTGATATTGCATGAAACCCTTGTAATAACTGAAGTAGGCTTGAAGTTGACTAGGAACTCACACAACATTAAGAAAAACTTGTAATAACTGAGGTAGGCTTAAAGGATTGAGAGGTGGTTTCTGTTAAAAGTGAGTTACAGTTGAACAATGGGTTTTAGAGATTTCAATCTGATCTTAGTATTAAATAGTTACTCAATTAATTTCAGTTTGAAGTTCTTGGAAGAGAAACCAACCACCAAAACACAACACAGAGAAATCTATCAACACATTTTCCTTACATCCCCAACCTCACTGAGAAAATAAAATGTTTTTAAAAAAATTCAATGTTGACATATAATGAAAATCTGGAACACACTATTTGATTTTAACTTACTTTAAATTAAAATTACCTATCAATCTCAACTTAAGTATTGTTTACTAAATCCCCTGTTCTTGCATGAATCATACATTAAACCTTAGAATATTATCTTAACAATCCAATGGATTCTTGAAATATATTAATCATTCAACATTAGTGTAAAATTAATTATTTGTACATGAAATGGGTACTTGAAAGCATTCAGATGTGACCAACTTGTTTAATTTTATTCCTACTATAGAAAATGTAGATTAATTCAAAGATTTAACTTAAAATGTTAAGTTTGTAACTCAACACTGAATCACAAATCAACACAGAAAAACAACAGACTATCAAACATATGACACATGTATGTCCTTTGGAATTCTGATGCCAAAACATTTATCTTGTCCAGAAATTCATAATATTTATATATTCCTGTTGTACTTGTAGCAGTCATGGCACAAAAGATTTAAATCTTCTTGTCAAGACCCTACAAGGCATAGATATATCTTCCAGTGTTTCAATCTTACAAGATCCCTGTCTGCTTTACAGATTCATGTGGTTTGTGAACTTTTTTAATGGTCTTACAAAAAACTTTTTCTGTTATTCTTAAGATTTAGGTAAATTCCAGTAATTGGTGCAATGGTTAGTGGAACCCAGCATTAAAAAGATTGTTTGTTTGTTTGCAATTAAGCACAAAGCTACACAATGGGCTATCACAGGTATCAAAACCCAGTTTCTGGCATTGTAAGTCTGCAGACATACCACTGTGCCACTGGGGGGTGCATTAGAAAGAACTAGCAAAAATACCCACCCTCTGATCAGGTATAACTGCTAGTTTCTGCAGAAGGATATTGGGCCTGTGGCCTTTTCTGGAATTGTCTGACAGTTCTAAAACAATGTACTCATACTTGACATTCAGTAATGCTCATCATCCATGAGGAAAAGGATTTTATTGAAATTTTAGTATAAAAATGAGCTATCATTACAGCATTAACAGAGTAGATTTTATTGAAGTATCTCTTTGTAGATGCAGTTATCTATGAAAGTGCTTTGATTTTCTGTTGCAATACTCATGAGAAATGATTAACAATCCAATTTTTATCTTCTCTTCTGACAAAATCATCACAGCAAATAAAAAGGTCAAAGAGCCTGACATATTTTTGCCAAAAAACTGTAACATGACCTCAACTTTACAACCAGGATAACCAAACATGAACCACTTCCAAAGTAATTGACTATTGATGTATAGGTGATCAGTAAAATTGTAGCACACACAGTCAAGTCAGAGTATATAACTTGGAAAAGGCCTAAACTACACACTCATGAAGTTTCAGAAAAAACAAAACAAAAAGGTTTCATTTCTTAATAATAACAGCATTCTTGTTTTTATCATTTGACATATACTGAAGATCTATTCACAGAAACCCTAAGATTTTTCAATGTCTTATGAAAATCATTGAAACCTACACTTGCCTGTAAGGAAAGTAAAATAGACAAGTCATAGCTGCAAAGAAAAATACCTAATAACGTGTGCTCTCACAAGTACAGACTTCGTTTCCAGAGCCAAGTGTCTAAAAATTGAAACATACTCAAAAAAGTCTAACTTTTCAAAAAGCTTGACTTAATGAATTCCCTTTACAGACATCTCAGTGACACAAACATACAGAATGTAATTCGTGACCCTCAACTTCTAATGACAGTTTAAAAACTAATGATTAATTTTTGAAAAAACAAAATGATGGTTTTTAAGAGATGTTAGAGTAAAATAAATGTCAGATTTTTGCCAGATAAGTACAAAAAAGCAAATATTTAGGCAGCGATTATCTTTAAAATGTATTGTAATGTTATTAATGTTTCTGTATATTGTAAACATCATTGCATAACTGTCAATTTTATAGGCATGTGTGTTGTGACTGTAAAATAAGTTACAAAATGTTCATTTTGAAAATACTTATGCTCTGTCATTCTGCTAATAATTTTAATATGGTCATCTTACTAGTAATTTATACAATGTAAATTTATTAATAACTTTAAAAGTAAGCAGAATCATAGATTTGAAACTTGGCTAATGTCAATTTTTTACTTTTTCAGAATATTTCTGATGTTTCCAGAAAATGCCACCCTAAAATTTCTATGTTAATAACTTTAATTTAGATATTGTAACATTATGTCAGTTAACTTAGATACACATTGTCATTCTATTATTAACTCTAACTACATTACCTAAAATCTTTTGTATATAGTTCAAACTTTCTTCTAAACTTCAATAAGTTCAGATAATTAGTCTAGCCAGGTAATAAAGAAAAGACATTTGAAAATTGTTAAAACATTGTTAAAATAGGTACTTGAAAACCAATGCATGTTCAAGAAAAATAGATAAGTTTGTTTTGGTTATTTCAGTTTAATAATTAAAAAACATTAAACTTTTGGTAGTTATTAATTTGAAAGTTTAATACATGTACTTAAATCAAAATACATTCTTTTAAATTATTAGAAATTAGGAGAGAATGAATATTTGTATAAAATGAAATAGTTAGCATTAAAATTAGTCCAACCTACTCTTTCACACACAAAAAATTTATAGAATAATAGTACCCTAAATTTCAATAATTTTGAGCATTTTTAAACTACCTTTTATTTCAATGTAAGGTATATGTAACAATATGAGCTCGTAATTCTAGTCCTTTAATTATATTATTTATTTATGACTTTTTGTGCTCAGTGAAAATTTCCTGGCTAAAACATTTTACCATTTTATCAATAAATTAATAAAGTTGCAAAAACAACTATAAAAAAGCATGATAATGCTTTTCTATACTATCAAAGTTAGAAAAAAAGGAAAGAAAAACTTTTAATTTTCAAGATTCTATTTGAAATCAGTATGTGAACATCAATCTATTATTTTAATTGTACACAATTTTTTTAAACTTTACATATGTGATACAACTGAAATCAGCAAGATATGAGTGTTACAAAAAGAAATTTTAGATTTTTCAAAAAAATTATACTTGTCTGTAAATTCTATGGAACTAGTAACATAGTTGGAAAAAGAAACTTAAGAAAGAGATTTAATCAGTTAATGACCATTTGTATTTTCATGCCATAAACCTGGAACTAAAAGCTTCTGCTTTATTTGAATTTCAAATTTAATCTTTGCAATTTCTTTAAAAGTCATAACAAGTTTTCTAGTCAAAATCCTTATTTTTTTAAGTATAATCAAATAAATGAAATCAATTATTAAAATGTTAGCAGATACAGTTTTTGGCTACAGGCATTAAAATCCCTTACTAAAAGTTAAGTTTTTCATACTTTATAGCATTTCCCCATAAACTTCTATTACTAGTTCAGCTTCCCAAGACATTTTCTATTGTTGTTATTGTACATAGCTGTTGAGATTTCAGAGATTTATTCCTTTTTGTTGATTCTTTTTTACTCACAAGTAAGAAAAACAATGGTAGTTGGTGCTTGAAGAACAAAGAGTATGTGGTAAGAAATGTCCTTTTCTTGTAAGGCCCATGTGTATTGTGTAATTAAATGTTTCCACAAAAAATGTCTTTTACATAACAAATCTTTCTCTCTCTCTCTAGTCTTCATGTTTGAAAAGGGGAATACAAAACATTAAAATTGACAACTCTTTATTGTGTTAAAACATTATGTATTTAGGTGTTACATCTGCCCAATATCTTTTGTTCAAATATTGGTAAAACATTGGTATTCTAATGAAACTTTTTACAGAGCACCACAGGGCTCATCCGGTTACTAAATACTCATTTGTACTAATTGTACACCTTAAACATGTAAAAAAAGAAGTAAAGTTTCTATTAACACCAGCAATACAAAGATCACATCATTAAGCCTATATTTTTGGAACAGGATAAGTCCACTAAAATGTGATAGATTCGAAAAACTTTAACTATGCTTAAAGTTAACAGATTCATAACAAAAACAAAATCTCAAGAAAGTAAAGTTTAACAGTAAACCAATGTCTAAAAACTCAGGTCCAATCCACTAATGAAGAGGTCAAACCAATTCTCATCATTTGTCTAATACAATAAAATAAATTATTCTTAGGTTGTTAACAAAAAAAGTGAGATTCATGAACCAAGTGAAAGAACGTTGAAATAAAAATTGTCAAATAAATAAAATATTTTAAAATTTGAGTCTCACATAACAAAAGGTTTCAAGAAAGAGACTAATTAATTATGTCTGCCTCATACAATTTTTCTTTTATCAAGGAAATAACCAGCTTTTGGAATTTGAGATGTCTATTCTAAAATATCCATTTTGTACAAGTATTTCACAATTTTTAAATCTGACACAACTGCAGCTGCTATCTTTTTTTATGATTAAAAACAGACAGAACAGTAAAACAAAATTTTGTACACAATATATTCAATCTCACAAATTGGATATGGGTATATGTTTCAGTTAAACTACAATAACTGGAAGAACTTTTACTTTATCACAATTGGCCAAACTTCACAGAACTGAAATTTAAATTCTTCAATACTATTTTTAGCTATAGGCATCTTGAGTTTGGTTTAATTCTTCATATATGGATAAAACCAGTCAGATAGAGGTTTGAATGTTTCTTTTATGACTTGTGGTGATGTCCAACGTAATAAACAGTGCGGTCCTCCAGCCTTGTCATTTGTACCTAGTAAGTAAATGGAGTTTATCTAAATGTTTTCTGATAAAATACAATTGACTTGGTGAAAGTTACATTCCTACTAACATTCAACATACCATTACTAGAAAACCTCCAAATTTGATGTAATCAAAGCTCCACTTTTACTACAACAATCAAACAGTATTAAGAGATTCTGACTTCTACTCTAATAACATACATGTAACTAATATAAATTAAATCTGAACTATTATAACTCTAACAACACCTTCAGAGTAATACTTCTATTGCTAAAAAATGACTGAGATCACTTAGCATACAAATAACATATCAGTGTCAAGTATAGTGCTGTAACACCAGTGAAATGATCAGTTACACTTTCACTGCTCTATTACTAGAATCACACTGTTCAAAAAGGTTTTGTGAGATTTCTATATTCTTAACACAATAGATTATTTTATAAAACTCCATATTTCATTTTGTTAATTCATGAATTATGGTACAAAAGCAAAATTTATAGAACTAATTTTTTGGTTGAACGAAAGCCTACTCAATTATAAAATGTCTATTCATATATATTCATTATTATGTTGATTCTTATTTTGCACGTTTATCGGTAACTTGAAATGAGCTTATATATTCTTATGGAATTTGACAATAGAAGCTAAACATAAAATTAAAATTTTTTTAAAATAAAGAATAAAAATTGTTATCTGTATGACAAATCCAAATACATGACATTTTCCTAAGAGACTTATCTTTGAGTCTCATGGTTTTTAAATATGACAAGTTAATAAAATCAAAACTAACTCCAGTCATATATTAAATGAAATACCACAAATCTAGCTTCCAAAAGTATACTATTCAATTGAAGAAACCTATCTTCCATAAATCTAAAAACCTGATTAAACTTGAGCAATCATGAAGAAGACTAGAGTGCTATCTAACATCCAAACTGATGCACATATCTTATTTTTTCACCCACCTGAAACTCGTCCACCACCAAATGGTTGCTGACCCACAACTGATCCTGTGCTTTTATCATTGATGTAGAAGTTACCAGCTGACATTTTCAAGAACTCCGTCGCTTGTGCAATAAATTTCCTGGAAGGAAAAGCACCTCCTCACAACATTATATACACAGTTTTTATCATACTAAAACATATATTAAAATAAAGATGATTGCATGGTTTCAAGCAGTTTTATCATTACAAAGGTTCATGTTCATGTGTATTAGCACAAAACGTCTATGAAATTTTGTTCCTGAAAAAGAATAGTTAGAAAATGTATCACACATAAACATAAGTTCAGAATTCAAAATCATTTTTTATTCCAGGGGTAATTCCAGATCAGCTGATTTTTTTAGACTAAACTTTATGAAATAATCATTATGAAGAACACACATAACTTACAAAAGTATGTAATTAGTATACTTCATTTTTCTATTTCATCAAACTGGTGTACTTTGTTTTTCACTTTCCATCAAAATTTATGTACTTACTCGTCAGAAGCAAAAATGGCCCCAGTCAGACCAAAAGGTGCTGTGTCGGATGCCAGAGTTAAAGCTTCCTCTAGCTGTTTATCAGAATACACATATACTGTCAATACAGGCCCAAATATCTCCTCTTGCATGATTCTGTCCTTTGGGTCTTTAGCAACAATTATTGCAGGCTCTATGTAATATCCTTTGCTATAAAAGAAAACAAACCATGATTGTTAATAGTGCAGTGTTATCCTGAAACACATTTATATGGCCTTCAATTTGTTAACATTTTCAATGATGGCTAAGTTAAATAGTAACTGACTGAAATACTGATAACAACTGCAATTATACAAATAGTTTAGGTAAAACTTTTGTAAGAGGCTTTGTTTAAGCTACAACAAAATAACATGTATTGTGAGAGGGTATTCAACATATCAACCAAAAAGGTAACAGAAAACACAAGACTTTGCTCCTCCTGACTAGACTTCAAAAAACCACAAAGCATTTAATTAATATTCTGCCTGGTTGTTCTTTCCATTTTCCAATGTATTAGGCTTAAAGTTATCTTATACTGGTTTTTTTTTTTAAACTGAAACATCCTCCATTTAACTAAGTTCACAAAATATAAACATATTTTGATAACCCACTGTAATTTGATCATACCTCTACTGATTTAAAAAAGAGAATACCTGTACCTGTTATCACAATTCCCTCCACCAATAACCTCCAAGTTTGAGGACATCTTGGCATAGTCAATGTAACCTTTAATTCTATTAAAAGCTTTTTCATCAATGACAGCAGAAAGAAATGTGTCATATTCCAGAGGAGAGTCAAGCTTTAGCTGCTTTCTAGTTTCTAACAAGCCTTCTCTTATCTGTATGGTAAATCATGGTTAAAAATTAATTACAATGGAGAGACAAATCTGGCTGGATTATTTGAGTTCAATATAACGGTAGTCAATCAATGTAAACTTACAAATGTTAAGTCTGTTTAAGAAAAGTTATCCTTACAACACAGATGCACCATTCTGGTCTCTGCTTTCAATTCTTTAAATATTATCATATGTTGGACAGCTGGTTTTAAAGTTAATTTGATACTTTTATTCAACAATTTCAGATAAAGATGGCAAAACTACATTCTTTTAAACAACTATTCATGTTTCTATTACAATATATGATGTTAACAAGAAAATGTACTTACTTGAAAAAAAAAAAAAAAAAAA